TTATTGTGTGTTCCTGTGACGCTGGAAGAAGAAGCGTATCCTGTGACGCTGGAAGAAGAAGCGAATCCTGTGAAGCTGGATGAAGCTGAGTTCCTGTGACGCTGGAAGAAGAAGCGTATCCTGTGAAGCTGGATTAAGCTGAAGTTCCTATGACGCTGGAAGAAGAAGCGTATCCTGTGAAGCTGGACTAAGCTGAGTTCTTTGTGACGCTGGAAGAAGAAGCATATCCTGTGAAGCTGGATTAAAGCTGAAGTTCCTGTGACGCTGGAAGAAGAAGCGTATCCTGTGAAGCTGAATTAAGCTGAGTTCCTGTGACGCTGGAAGAAGAAGCGTATCCTGTGAAGCTGGATTAAGCTGAAGTTCCTGTGACGCTGGAAGAAGAAGCGTATCCTGTGAAGCTGGATAAGCTGAGTTCCTGTGACGCTGGAAGAAGAAGCGTATCCTGTGAAGCTGGATTAAGCTGAAGTTCCAGTGATGCTGGAAGAAGAAGCGTATCCTGTGAAGCTGGATTAAGCTGAAGTTCCTGTGACGCTGGAGAAGAAGCGTATCCTGTGAAGCTGGATGAAGCTGAGTTCCTGTGACGCTGGAAGAAGAAGCGTATCCTGTGAAACTGGATTAAGCTGAAGTTCCGGTGACGCTGGAAGAAGAAGCGTATCCTGTGAAGCTGGATGAAGCTGAAGTTCCTGTGACGCTGGAAAAGGAAGCGTATCCTGTGACGCTGGAAGAAGAAGCGAATCCTGTGAAGCTGGATGAAGCTGAAGTTCCTGTGATGACACTGGAAGAAGAAGCGTATCCTGTGAAGCTGGATTAAGCTGAAGTTCCTGTGACGCTGGAAGAAGAAGCGTATCCTGTGAAGCTGGATTAAGCTGAGTTCTTGTGACGCTGGAAAAGAAGCATATCCTGTGAAGCTGGATTAAGCTGAAGTTCCTGTGACGCTGGAAGAAGAAGCGTATCCTGTGAAGCTGAATTAAGCTGAGTTCCTGTGACGCTGGAAGAAGAAGCGTATCCTGTGAAGCTGGATTAAGCTGAAGTTCCTGTGACGCTGGAAGAAGAAGCGTATCCTGTGAAGCTGGATGAAGCTGAGTTCCTGTGACGCTGGAAGAAGAAGCGTATCCTGTGAAGCTGGATTAAGCTGAAGTTCCAGTGATGCTGGAAGAAGAAGCGTATCCTGTGAAGCTGGATTAAGCTGAAGTTCCTGTGAAGCTGGAGGAAGAAGCGTATCCTGTGAAGCTGGATGAAGCTGAGTTCCTGTGACGCTGGAAGAAGAAGCGTATCCTGTGAAACTGGATTAAGCTGAAGTTCCGGTGACGCTGGAAGAAGAAGCGTATCCTGGTGAAGCTGGCTTGAAGTGACGATCCTGTGACGCTGGATGACGAAGCGTATCCTGTGAAGCGGGTGAGCAATGGTTTCCAGGGCGGGTGATGTGGTGAACTTAACGGGTCTTCTCACCAGTCAGAGCTTCAGCCTTTGGTTGGAAGCGGGTTGCTTGAGTGTGATCCTTTGTTGGTAAAGGATCACGTCGGGGTCACCAATGTTTGTGCCTAACCGAAGTAGACACTTCCGGGTCTCACCGCGGGACAGGGTAATGAGCACTTGTCGCTGGCACGGGGACGCTTTGCTGGCAGGACGATCACGTCGCGGCAATGGTAACGATGGTTACTGCGATGCCGGACCACAGGCGATGCGGAACTGCGCTGAGGTTGAGCTAACGTAGGTTAGCTACTAGTGGAGATAGTATATTACGAGCCCTATTCCCAGAGGTAGGAAGTAGACCGCGGAGTTATGAGATGCGTTGATAACTGTTTTATTCTTCATTTGGAACATGTTATATACTACTTGGAACACGGTATTAGTGTAATGATTAGTGAAGTCCAGAGCAGCTAGAGACTGCTGGTCTAGTTTTCTTCTGATAATAAAACACAGGATTGGATCCCATATTTTGGTGACATCGAGGTTTTGAAAAGTACTCATTAAGTTTTTGATAGAGTATGTAAGGCCCTTAGTTGGCGCGAAGAGCCGTCTATTGGCCTATAGTCAATAATTTTTGCTATGGCGGCGAATACTAGTATTTTGCCGTTCTGGTACCTGGCCTTCAATCGCAACAGGTGTCGTCATAGCCACCCTGTGAGAAGGCTGTGTCTGTCAAGACGTTTCTCGCTTCACCACGAAGCGAACTCTGTAGAATATGTAGTTTTTGACTGGGGAATATGGTTTATTATGTACCAACTCCACAAGAGATCATGGATCCGTGGCCAGTCTTGATACTCGCCGTTGAACTCCGGAATGCTAACTGGCGGAAGTGCCAAGATTAGGCTCATTGGCGAGTCGTTTTCTCGAATCAGGTTAATTTCGTATTCCTGGATAATGTGTGGAATTGAGCTAGCTCTGCTTCTGCCAGGGCTGCGGCCCAAGGTGTGCTGTCCAATTCGTCGTGCTCCTCAGCAACGCCCAATGGAGATCAAGGTGCCTTTGTATGGCTGGGGTGACGGTTGGGGCGTTCGAGGCTAATGTTAATGATGACTTCAATTCGTTGCATCTTCTCTGCAACTGTCGGATCACCGTGTCAATTGTGGAATCTCCTTTGACTTGATCTCTTGTTTTGATCTTGATTTTGGCCGAAGTTCGTCTCGGGGCCCTTGGAAGCCCGCTTCCAGTCGGCATGTTGTCCAGAAAGATATTCTGATATTTTTCGTCTATCTCCTTAAGTGCTATTACTCGTGAAGACTACTCACTTCCAGTGGGTAATGCCGCTTGCTGGACTTCTTCATGTAGGTCGCAAAACTGCTGCCAGAGATCGTTTAACTGATTTAGCTTACCGGAATAATAGCCGTCTCGGTGGCGTAGGTCGGCAGAATCCTTGCCATAATTCTTAATGGGCTGTTGGATTTTCCCTTGCAGCTCGTTTTGGGTGTCTAGTAATCGATTGTGTAAATCGATTCTTGTGTGACTTGTTTCCTCTATGAATGAAGTAGACATATTGTGTGTTCCTGTGACGCTGGAAGAAGAAGCGTATCCTGTGAAGGTGGATTAAGCTGAAGTTCCTGTGAAGCTGGAAGAAGAAGCGTATCCTGTGAAGCTGGATGAAGCTGAGTTCCTGTGACGCTGGAAGAAGAAGCGTACCCTGTGAAGCTGGATTAAGCTGAAGTTCCTGTGACGCTGAAAGAAGAAACGTATCCTGTGACGCTGGAAGAAGAAGCGTACCCTGTGAAGCTGGATTAAGCTGAAGTTCCTGTGACGCTGAAAGAAGAAACGTATCCTGTGAAGCTGGATTAAGCTGAAGTTCCTGTGACGCTGGAAGAAGAATCGTATCCTGTTAACCTGGATTAAGCTCAAGTTCCTGTGACGCTGGAAGAAGAAGCGTATCCTGTGAAGCTGGATGAAGCTGAGTTCCTGTGACGCTGGAAGAAGAAGCGTATCCTGTGAAGCTGGATTAAGCTGAAGTTCCTGTGACGCTGGAAGAAGAAGCGTAACCTGTGAAACTGGATTAAGCTGAAGTTCCTGTGACGCTGGAAGAAGAAGCGTATCCTGTGAAGCTAGATTAAGCTGAGTTCCTGTGACGCTGGAAGAAGAAGCGTATCCTGTGAAGCTGAATTAAGCTGATGTTCCTGTGACGCTGGAAGAAAAATCGTATCCTGTGAAGCTGGATGAAGCTGTCGATCCTGGAAGCTGGATGAAGCTGTCGATCCTGTGACGCCGGATGACGAAGCGTTCCTAGGGGGGATGTGGTGAACTTAACGGGTCTTCTCACCAGTCAGAGGTTCAGCCTTTGGTGGGAAGGGGGTTGCTTGAGTGTGATCCTTTGTTGGTAAAGGATCACGTCGGGGTCACCAATGTTTGTGCCTAACCGAAGTAGACACTTCCGGGTCTCACGCGGGACAAGGGGGTAATGAGCACTTGTCGCTGGCACGGGGACGCTTTGCTGGCAGGACGATCACGGCAATGGTAACGATGGTTACTGCGATGCCGGACCACAGGCGATGCGGAACTGCGCTGATGTTGATCTAACGTAGGTTAGCTACTAGTGGAGAAAGTATATTACGAGCCCTATTCCCAGAGGTAGGAAGTAGAACAGCGGAGTTATGAGATGCGTTGATAACTGTTTTATTCTGCATTTGGAACATGTTTTTATACTACTTGAAACACGGAAGTTTAGTGTAATGATTAGTAAAGTGAGCTATATTCTAAATTAGGTCAGGGAATTATGATTATGGTAGCAGTTTGCATAGTTGGCTTTGCGTAGTTGGCTGACACTGCAAAATGTGCTGACTGCATTGGCGGGTCAGTGGGCCGTTCAGTCGGTAAGAAGGTGAGTTAGTGAGACATATAATAGCTGATCAGCAATTTTCATATGCAGTGGGTGCTACTGAGCGCCTAGTACTGTTCCCAACTTGGCTACTGCTTGATTTGTTGGGTGTGGTCATGTTGAGCACCTTTGGGTACGAACACTTTGTATTGCAAGTGATTGTGTGTGCACACACTTATTGCGCAGTTGTGAATTTAAATCAAATTTTTTTCCCAAAGCATACTGTTATCGCACACACAGCTGGTATAAATTTAAATCACATTTTTTTATTCGTTATCACACACAACCTAAAAAAAAAAATTCAGCAAGCCACCTACTCAAGTACAAAAAATTTAGCGTGGGGGTAGAAGAACAAAATAAATTATTTTTTTTTTCATTGGATGCAGTTATCACACATACGGTGTTCAAAGGCATATCAAAGCGATTGTGAGAACTAATATTGCATCCTCATACAATCAATCAGAAAAAATTCTCAATAATTAGCGCTCGGCAGCCAAATTCAAAGGCAGTTCATAATTGACTTACATTGCCTAAGTACGTGAACAATATTACCCAACATCCAGACTTAGAACCAAAACTAAGCAAGCAAAAATCATGGAGTCCCAAACAAAAACCCAAACGATCAAATTCAAGAAAGTATTAGTAGGAGCAGAAGAAGCACCCGGTTCACCCGGTTGGATTAGCAAAAACCCCGAAAATGCTTCGATGCGGCAGTTGTAAATGCGTGTGTTACAACACCCCCAATTACGTAAGCTCAGAAGAAGAAGAAAAAGACAACGATGTCTTCCCGATCTTAACTCAAATTCCTGAGGACACCATTGAGGATGATAACGTAGGTCTCCACCATAACCATACTTGCTGCGCCTAAACAATAAAAAAAAACATAAAAAAAAGAATGTAAAATTACAATTTATTCTTCATCTCTTTTTTTATTTATATTTTCTAATCAAAAAAAAATAAAGGACCCCAAAACGCAAGTTTCTAAATCTAACATTGATGGTGAAGGTGCTGGTACTGAAGATGGTACTGCTGCTGGTGCTGGTGCTGCTGCTGCTGAAAAGGAAGATCCGCGACCCAACAAGATGCTTAGATCCACCATTGTTAACTCTCTTGCTAAACGAGCATCTAAAAACATTGAGAACGTTGTTGCTGTTGCCGATAAAGAAGTTCAAGAATTAAAGGACGAAATTGAAGAATTTCGCAGGGACTACGATGATGTAATATCTAGCAGCGACCTGAGGACCTTACGCACCATAAAAAAACTGTTGACAGTAGGAACAGTACTGACGCCAGGAGACTACAGAGCCTTACGTCCCATCAGGGGGCAATTCATGTGGGGAGCCTTTAACCTAATGCAACGCTATCGCTTTTTGCGCGAAAACTTGACAAAAATCATAAAATTATTATTGAAGATGATGACGACATTTACGGTACGAGTTACAGATTAAAAAAGAAATGAGCAGTTACGAGGTAGAAACCTGTGTCAATACAGATGATGTTGACGAATTAAAAAAAGAAATAGACGAATTTTGTATTGAGATGAGGATATTCTACCAGACTTTGAACTAAGGACCTTACGAAACATGAGGAAATTAGTGAAGATGTCGCGCAACATTAGAAAACGCTTTAAAGTAGGAGTTTATATATTAATGCAACGGTATCAGAATTTGGGTGAGAGACTTGATAGATGGTAATAATTATATACACATATATAACCTATATTTATATATATCAATAAAAAAAAATTATTTACTCCTCAAAATAGAATCTCTTAATGTACAACGTTCTCATTTCAGCTTGCAGTCACAAAAAAAAAAAAAAATATATATTATGTGAGAACTATACACTGTTAAAAAAAAAAAAAAAAAAAAAATTGATTGTTTCTGTGCAACGATCTATGGTCTATATTAATATTCACATAGTATGGCACTATAGCGTTGGACAGAAACAATATCTAATACCTTCAACGATCGTGTGTGTGTGTGTGTGTGTGTGTGTGACTTGAGTTGAAGAGTATATTTTTTATGTGTCGAGGAAGAAGACCTGCTATATTTAATAGATCTTTTTACGCGATCAGAAAGAAATATATTTTTAAAAACCATCAAAAATGCGGAGAAAGTGACGTGAAAAAATGAGTATTTTTTTTTGTGTCGCGGAAAAATATTTGTTATATATTTAATAAAATAAATCTTTCCGCGACAGCAAAATAAAGTATATTTCTAAAGCCTTCAACAATAGTGTGTAGAAAAAAAAGTGAAGTGTGTGATAAAAGAGTAATTTATTTTTGTGCCGCGGAAATAGATTTTCTATTTATTTTATAGAAGAACTCTTTCCGCGATAACAAAAAAATATATTTCTAAAGCCTTAAATAGAAGTGTGTAGAAAAAAAAGTGAAGTGTGTGATAAAAGAGTATATTGTTTGATGCTATCATGGAAAAAAATATCTGGTATATTTAATAGATGTTTTACCCATGATTACAACAAAAAATATATTTTTTAAGCCTTCAAAAATGCGGAGAAAGTGAAGTGAGATAAAAAGTATATTGTTTTACTGTTATTGTGAGGAAAAATCTAATATGTTTAATTGATCTTTCGTCACGATGACGTCAAAAATATATTTAAAGCCTTTCAAAAATGTGGAGAAAATAAAGTGAGATAAAAAAAAGTATAATGTTTTCTATGGCTTGTAAAATTTTTGTACTACATTAATATTCGCATAGTAGAATATTTTGCGAACCAAAGAAAATAATATACGAGTACACACACACACACAACCTTCAAACGAGAGTGAGAGGACAAGTGAGTTTTGGCGCTATCGAGAGTGAGAGTACGATGACAAGTCCGAAGACAAGCGGGAGGGGGAAGTAGGAGAGGAGTGAGCGCGGTCGCAAAGTCCGCGGACAAGCGGGAGGGGAAGTGGGAGGGGGAGTGAGCGCGGTCGCAAAGTCCGCGGACAAGCGGGAGGGTGAGTTGGAGGGGGAGTGAGCGCGGCCCGCAGAGTGTTCCACAACATTCCAGAACACTCCAGCACACTCCAGAACACCCCCGCCCAGCAACAACAACAACTTCCGCTCGCGATAAGCGCTTACACCAGCGATAACAATTCTGCTCCAGAACATACAACGCAAAATTGGTCCAGAACATACAATCCAAAATTGGTCCAGAACATACATATTCATCCTACTGACTTATATACTACCTGCAAAAGATATAAGTTTTTTGGGAAAGTTTCAGCCCGATAGCTTTAAAACTGAGAGACTAGTTTGCGTAGAAACGGACGGACAGACGGACATGGCTAGATCGACTCGTCTAGTGATGCTGATCAAGAATTCTCCGTCTCCTTCACTGCGTTGCAAACTACTGACTGAAATCATTATACCCTCTGCCAGGGTATAAAAATGTTATTTCCAAGGAAAGGAGGTAATACGTCAAAAAACAACAAAGATATAATTTTTTTTTACATTTTTTTCCTAATATTCCTATATGATATAGTTGTTCGATCCGGCTGGTTCCGACTTATATACTACCTGCAAAAGATATAAGACTTTAGGGAAAGTTTCAGCCCGATAGCTTTAAAACTGAGAGGCTAGTTTGCGTAGAAACGGACGGACAGACGGACATGGCTAGATCGACTCGTCTAGTGATGCTGATCAAGAATATATATACTTTATGGGGTCGGAAACGTCTCCTTAACTGCGTTGCAAACTTCTGACTGAAATCATTATACCCTCTGCAAGGGTATAAAAACACCGAAGCTATAATTTATTTCATATTATTTTCCCACCAATTTTGCGATCGTTCCTATCGCAGCTATATGATATAGTCGTCCGATTTTGATAAAATTTAATTCGAAATTCAGACTGAATTAATTAATGATATTTCCAAGCGTAGAAGGTTATATGTTAAAAAACACCGAAGCTATAATTTGTTTCATATTATTTTCCCGCCGATTTTACGATCGTTCCTATGGCAGCTATATGATATAGTAGTCCGATTTTGATAAAATTTAATTCGAAATTCAGAACTAATTAAAAAATGTTATTTCCAAGCGTAGGAGGTTATATGTTAGGGAACACCGAAGCTATAATTTGTTTCATATTATTTTCCCACCAATTTTACGATCGTTCCTATGGCAGCTATATGATATAGTCGTCCGATTTTGATAAAAGTTAATTCGAAATTCAAAACTAATTAAAAAATGTTATTTCCAAGGAAAGGAGGTAATATGTTAAAAAACACCAAAAATATTGTTTAGGTTAGGTTAGAGCGGCTGCCAAATCATTGACACACTTAGTCCTTAAAAGGTCCATTGTGGTACCGCGTGGATCTGTATCCCCTTTCTAAAAATCTCTGCCTTTATTGCAGCTGGCTTAGCATAATTCCCATCCGGTTGCTTTAATGAATTTTATTATTCGTTTTAGGCTTATGTTCGCCAGTTCAGATAGACTGCTCATGAAGGGATTCCCTAAGTGGTACAGTCTAGATCTGCTCAGGGCCGGGCAGGAACAGAACAGGTGTTCCACCGTTTCCTCTTCCTCCTCGTCCCTGCAGCTTCTGCAGAAATCGTTTCGGGGCGCGCCAATCTGCTTGCGTGTGTGCCAACCAACCAGTGGCCTGTTAACACTCGTATTACCATTCCGCACTCGGTACGGTTTAGTCTTAATAGTTCCGAAGTTCTCTTCGCGTCAATGATTGGCCATGTCTGGCGAGAGATGCGACAGTGCTTAACATGTGTCCATGCTAGGCTCGCAAGTTTCTTATATTGGTTTTTAATGTTAAGCTTGCAGGTGGCCATCGGCATACCAATGTTCTCCTTGTCCGGAAGGAGAGGAACGGTAGTGCCATGCCTGGCCAGCTCATCTGCAATACAATTGCCTGTAATGTTCCGGTGACCCGGGACCCATATCAGGTAAATTTTAAACTGCAGAGCCATCTCGTGCAGAGATTTGCGGCAGTTTATATGGTGTGGGAGTTTGTATTGGTCGAGATAATCGACCTGATAGCCGCTGACTATCACTATAGATGTTAATCAGTTTATTCTGACAGTTTGCATCGTTCAGAAGCATCAAAGCTTCAATTATGGCAAATACTTCCGCCTGGAAGACGCTACAGTGATCCGGAAGTCTGAAGGATTTCCTGATATTAAGTTGTTCGGAGTATATACCTCCTCCGACTTGATTATTTAATTTTGAGCCGTCAGTGTAGAAATTGACTGCCTCTGTAGGGCCCGGCTGGCCTTGCTCCCAGTCTTCTCTGGTTGGGAGCAAGTGCTTCAAAGGGGGTGTGGATGTATTCAATAGGTTTGCATAGATCTGTACTGGGTGGGATCATTGTGTCTGCTGGAGTATCCTGGCATGACCGTATATTTGGGGTTTCCACTGCCCTAAGTCCCTCATCCGAACCGCAGCTATCTTAGCTCGTTCCATGCCGGCTAAGTCCAGACTTGGAAGGTTCAGAATAGCATTTAGCGCCTCGTTGGGGGTGGTGCGAAGGGCTCCGCTTATGCATAAGGATGCCATTCGTTGTACCTTGTTTAGGTTTGTTGTGGTTGTCTGCTTCATTAGCGCGGGCCACCATATTGACACTCCGTAGAGCAGAATAGGCTTAACTATCGCTGTGTGTATCCAGTTGACGATTTTTGGGGACATGCCCCATTTCGTTCCGATGGCCTTTTTGCAGGAGTAGAGGGCAATTGTTGCCTTCCTCGTTCTCTCTTGGCTGTTTAGTCTCCATGTCAGACGCTTATCTAATACTAACCCCAAATACCTGGCGTTGTCACTGAAGGAGAGAGAGCAGTTATTTAATATTGGGTTTAGTTGAGGAATCTTGTATCTGTTTGTAAACAGCACCAGTTCCGTTTTCGAGGGGTTTACCCCTAGACCTCTTTCTGTTGTCCAGTCAGAGAGTATTTTAAGTTTGGCGGTCATTAGATCGCATAGTGTCTGAGGAAATTTTCCTGAGAAAATAATGGCTACATCGTCCGCATATGCCACAACCTTGCATCCACCCCCTTCCATGTAGCACAACAGCTTATTTACTGCGATGTTCCATAGCAGGGGGAGAGTACACCACCCTGAGGGGTTCCCCTGTTCACGAACCTTGTTTGTGTTGAGATTCCTAGGGTGGAGGTTACCATTCTGCTCATCAGCAATTTATGGATTAACTCCACGACTTGGATCTCAACACCCAGGTCGGTGAGGGATTCGGTTATGGCTGTAGGAGAACATTGTTGAAAGCGCCCTCTATGTCCAGAAATGCAGCAAGTGCGTATTCCTTGTGATTGAGTGACTTTTCGATTTGGCTGACTACCGCGTGTAGAGCTGATTCGGTGGACTTGCCTTTTGAATATGCATGCTGCGCTGCTGATAACTGTTTCGAGTCCATGACTGACCTGATGTGCAGTCCAATCAGTCGCTTAAAGCTCTTAAGGAGAAAGGATGTCAGACTT